GTCTTGCAAGTGAACCCCAATGAGACAAGGGACAATAAAATGATCGTGGATGACATCAGTATTGCATCATGGCTGCAGTCCTTAGCTTTCCCTTCAGTCTGCAGGTGTTACTAGCGGAAGAAGTGCTGCACAGTGGTTAGAACAGGGGCTTGGGAACCTGGTTCTGTTCCCTGGCATGCCACTGACTCACTATATTGCATTAAGTGAGTCATTTAACCTCTCTGTCCCTAACCTTATACTTGGCTGTAAAACGAGTATGTTGATGGAAGAGGTGGGGCTGTATGTGCACCATTGCCCTCTACTGAACAGAATCAGAACTGCTCAACTGTGTGTCATGTGCCCTGCACTGCTGACAGCTAATGAAGGTTCTCCAGATGGAAACTGTGTTTTATCCCAGCTGTTGCCATGTTGTTCTAAGTGGCTGTGTTGGATGCAGCAAAGCAACCACCATGAATTCCTAGCCAACCATAGATCTATTGCAATATAATAGCGCCTGACCCAACTGAGTGTTTGGGAGACTTAATCGATGTTCGTAAAAAACTTGAAGATCTTCAGGCCCTTTAAACATGTGCAAGGTGTTATTGTCCGGGGCACATACTGGGAAGAATCAGAGGTTAAAAATGTATTGCCAAGTGATAGGAAGCATTATTAAAATTGTCCTGTGAGCAGCTGCAAAGGGACGAGCTGGGTCGTCAGACAGACAAAACAAGATGAAAAGCTTGTACGTTCCATCCTTTTCCCTGCATTGGGAGATTAAATTAAAACTTTATACAAAGTTCCCTTGGCTCAGTCAGTTTTATCTGCCTACAGCACTAACAGCAGCCGCTCCACCCTCCTTGTATTACTGGACTGGGAATGTGGGTTTGCTGACATAAAACATTCATCCTACCTCCCATGTACCAACAGTGCCCCCCAGTGACCACTCGGATGTACTTCTAGCAGGAGTTGTTTCCTGAAAAACCCTATTTCATGCCCCATGAAACTCAAGCCCTCAGGCTTTTATCAGTGATTAATTATAGGGTAGACTTCTAAATCTTTTTATTCCTCTAGATGAGGCTTTACAAACAACTCCACATGATTTACAGAATACTGCTTTCCAGTCTACGTAAAATCCACTATCTGCTATTTTAAAAAGACACTAGCTTGTCCATTTCAGATTTGTTTGCAGAAGCGTCATAGTAGCTCCAGCAAGCTCTTGAATAAGTGAGGCCTTTAAGTCATTGCTGCTGGTCTGGACACTGTCCTAAAAGGCTGGGGCAGCCTGGAAAAATGTCATGTTCCTATTTCACTTGCTTAAAGATCATATGGCTAGAGTGATAGTGATATATGTTTACTTGCAATATGTTATTCAGCCAGTAGATATCTCCATGGTCTAGCGTTCCAGACAGCGGAGAACCAGATAAACAAGAGAAACAAAGCTGGCCCTCAAACTCCGTGTCTGTAGTTAGAACTGTTCTCTTCAATAAATACCTCCTGATTAATGTAGTTCCACGCAGCATGACGGCAAGAGAACAAGCCTGGAGAGGGGTCCCAGAGGTGGGGTCTAATATTTGTACTTTGAAAGACCACTGTGAAACTAGAGTTCCTATTTTTAAAACAATTCCTTACCTCTTAGCGGCTAGGTACTTGGTAATGAGCATGCTAAAATTCAGGTTATTTATAGGAGAAACTAGAATAAAACCAACTTCCTTCCTGGGAACTGGTTGGAAGTTTTTAGATGAGGGTGACCAGATGTCCCGATTTTTGGGTCTTTTTCTTATACAGGCTCCTCTTACCCCCCACCCCCTGTCCCGATTTTTCACATTTGCTGTCTGGTCACCCTATTTTAGATAGTAATTTCTGAGCACACAATGGTGCTTAAAATAATGCAGCAGCACCTCTACCCCTATGCTCCCATCCACAGGACATTTTGCAAAAGAAAAAAAAAGCATAAGGTGGCCCCATTGCCTGGTTTGTCAATCACCTGCCCCTCCCACACACACACCGTATGCAGAGACTGGGTGAGCATGGTATTTCTCAGAACTTTGGCACAATAGAGATGGTGACAGACTGTCCCTAGGCAGTGTTGGTTTGTTTTTTAAGGGCTCGTGGTGGCTTTATACATCCCAGAATGACAGACCTCAAACAAACAGAGGAAATTCAGCTGGTTGCAGGAGGGCGGCTGCTTTCTGAGGGCAGGGTGAATGAACATCACAGCAAATTTTGCAAGTACCATTTACGATGGGGCGAGAAGAGTGTAAGGAATGCAGGGCTTGCACAGCCATCTCACTGCATCCGTTTTGGAGAGTTAATATTCCCCATCTCCGATACACAACTCACGTAGCACAGGACCAATGCCAAGCTGGGCATATGGTTCAAGCTACTGGAGCCCTGTAAGCAGATGGGTTAGCGGCCATTATTTCTACTCCCATAGCACCTATGAAACCGTCTGTGTAAAGACAGTCAGGCTTAGTCTACATTGAAAATGTTTTACTGCTATCACTATGGGGTGTGATTGGTGTATGTGCATATATATATATATATATATATCTACTTGCACCAACATAGCTATGCTGGAAAAAGCCTTCATGCAGACAGTTATACCACTCACTATAAGGGATTTTATAACAGTATAGCTTATTTTGCTTCAGCAAATGCTACATTAGCCTAATGTAGGGGAGGGATAGTTCAGGGGTTTGAGCATTGGCCTGCTAAACCCAGGGTTATGAGCTCAATCCTTGAGGGGGCCACTTAGATATCTAGGGCAAAACTCAGTACTTGGTCCTGCTAGTGAAGGCAGGGGGCTGGACTTGATGACCTTTCAAGCTCCCTGCCAGCTTTCTGAGATAGGTATATCTCCATATATTATAAGAATTTTTATAGACACACATAACTGCATCAACATGGGGGGAGGGGTTTGCCAATTTTGCTATGCTACCGCAGTAAAAAAATTTTTTTTTTAAAGTATAGACAAGGTGTAGGAGCAGAAAGGGACCCATATGCACAGACGGGAGAGAGTTATTTTAAATGATCAGGTTGCTTTGGGGTAGCAAAGGCATTACAGTGATATGGTTATGCATTGATATTAAAGTGCTTTCAATGCAATGGCTGAGCTAACTTCACTGTTTAAACATCATCTCAATGCCCTGCACCCCATCCCCTCTCTGCATTACCTTTATAGCCCTGGATGGGGAAGGACCCACACATCAGGCAGCCAGTATTTTGCCTTTCCCTGGGAGCAGCAAGGATTTTGAGTCTGGCCCCACCCACCTACAGCTGATGCCCACCCAAAGAAGAGGGTAGATTGCCACTACGGCTGCTGCACCTCGAATTGCTCTGATCCCATCCCAGGGCTACAGACAATTTTTACCAGGGGAAGGGTTGGGCTAGAATTAAAAATATTAGCTGTTGAATGTCACTTTAATGAGGAGTTTTGTACCGTGACTAAAGTTGTCCACTTTTAATAAAGCTTCTGTTCCCAACTCACTGTTTCCTTTGTTAAAGCAACTCCTTCAATTTGGAGAGCCCCAGCTGGAGTCCACCCCCCACCACCCTGGGTGAGGGTCACCACTCTCACAGAGGGGACCTGGCCTAGATCCTGTTAGTGCACAAGACTGGAGCTAATGAACGGTAATTCCTAGACCTTGTTCAATTAATGATCAGGCCCTAGCCCTAGAGTTCCAATGGAGGAGCAGTGCTGGCAGCGAGGTGCAGCTGTCCCACCTGTGCCACCCAACACCCGCATGCCCCAGGGCCCCAGCTTTGTTATTGCATCAGACTTCAGAATGCTGCTGGGGGCCATGTCCAGAGCCTGCCTGCCACTCGTGCATGGCCCCACTGCTGCCAACCTCGAGAGATTAAAACATCTGAGTCGGAGCCTCCTGCACCCTGCCCAAAGATTTTGTTTAGCGAGGACACAGTCGTTCTTGTTCTGTCTTTTGACCTCCCCCACACCCAGTCTGAGCCCCACGTGTGCAGGTCACACCAAGCATTGCTCAATCTCCCGTTTGCCAGGTAATGGGATGTTTGTTCCTGCTGCCCAGCAATTAATTCTGGCCCCATGAGCACCCATCACCCTCCCCTCCTCCATTTCTAGGGCTCTCCATCCCCTTCTCCCAGGCCTGGGGAGGCTCCAACATGGTCCCCTCTCTCAGGCTAGGGAGCAGCTCCAGGGGCTCTTCTCCTGCCCAGCTCTGGGGCTGCAGAGACAAGGCAGGAGCAAAGCACCTGGCCTGTCCCCATGGCTCACAGGTGAGGAGAGGCCTGGGACCACTGTGAGCTGCCTCTCCCTTCCTGAGGGTGCAGTGGGAAGGGAAGGGAAGGGACTCAGAGATGCAAGAAGCTCTACCCTGAGCATCAGCCATAGACTGGCTCCAGCCCCTGCCAAAGTCATGGGCCTTGGGAAAGTGGTGCGAGTTGGCATGACTGAGGGTAGAGGGAGCTAGGAGAGGCAGGATACTCGGAAAAGCTTTTGCCCTAGGGTACAGGCCCTCACCCCTGGAAGAGTTAGATTCTCCTCTCTTCCCCTGCTCCGGGGGCCTGTTGGACTTTTAGGGAAGGACACGATCCCACCCTGACTTGCAGAGTGGTTCGGAGGCAGGGGACTGCTCACCCCTGCTTTGACATGGGCACTCACCTTAGCCTTCAACAAGCTGCTAGGGAAGGAGGACACTTGGTGTAGGATTGGGCCATCCACAGAGGGAAGTGTATTAAACCTGCGCCCTGCCATCAGCCCCTCCCAGCTGCACTGGTGGGACTTTAGCTGCATCTACATAGGCAAATATGGGGGTAGGGTTTTTCCATTTCCTCCCTCCCCTACTAGAAGCAGCCAGGGAGGCCCTAGGGCAGGGGTGGGAGGTGGAAATAGGCCCCTCAACAGAAGGTTAGGGCAAAGTTAGATGCGGTCTTTGATGTTGGAACCTGTGCACAGATGTCACATCCTAACCCCAGGTCACATCCAAAAGTGACAGCTATGTGTGACATTAACCACACTATTTATACACCTCAAGAAAGAGTCCTGCTTTGAGTTGGGAACATTTTATTTTGCTCTTAAGCAGTTGGACCTGGGTGATTACACTCTAAAACCTTTCAGTTCCTCAGCGTACAATTTGGCCTGAAGACAGAGGAAAGTTATCACAACAGTTTTAGATGTATTCTTGAAAGAAGTTTCATTTTTTCCTAAGTGCTAAGGACGGGAAGAGTCTGTTCAAAACTAGTAAGACATACATCACAGTGCAAAGTGCAGGCCTTTCTTGGGCATTTGCTACTTTAGAAATGTTCCATCTTTCTCCACGCAGATTCAGTAACTTTCCCTGCTACTAGCATTTAAGTGTTAGTGGTTGTATTAAAGTAGCATTTTTCCCCATAGAAAGGAGAGAGTGATCAGCACCAGCACCTCACACCCTTCAGTAGTGCAGACAGTTAAAAGATCTATAAAACCCTCAAGTCAACCTAGAATCCAAATGATGGTTATTGGATAGTGAAAGTTTTCCAGTTGTCTAATGTCCCATTTGGTAATTGCCATCAGATTATAAAAAGCTGGGTCTTAACTAATGACTCACATACATGTGTTTGGCAGATTTCAGAATCCATTTTATGGACACAGTCTTGACCCCTACTAGAGCTACTTGTATTCAGGCATTGCTAGCTCATGTTCCTGTTGGTTGTGCCTTGTATTCCACTTAGCCTCAGCGCCCAAGAGGGTGGGTGTTTTAGACAAGGCCACAGATCATTTGACTACTAGGATTTAACTGATTAACACATGGATACTTGTCGGTATCCAGCTAGCACCTGGGTTCCCTTCTCCTCCACCCCAAAACACAGCAGCAAGATGCAGGAGGGACTTTGGGAACAACCTTCCATTAAGGGAATGAAGCAGCCAGAGAGGATTCACTTAAAAGTTCCACTATTTGATACAGTGCATCAAATGGCACCTAAAGCCACCTTAAAGGATAGAAGCACCACAAGTGACAGATGGAACACAGCCATGGATGGGCTCAGGATTCCGAGCAGAGGCCAACAACTATGCTTTGGCCAGGGCTTCTGCGGGTGCCCCGAATGCTTTAATAGTCTCAGCCTTCAAGCTTTACTGTCCTTGTATTACAGGCAAGGGGAGTTTTCCTAATCCAACGTACTGCCTGCTACGCCAGGGAGGCTTCTGGCCCAGCCATCACTGGTATTAAAGCTTTAGCTACAGAAAGATGGTGGTGGGGGGGGGGGTAGGAGAGAAGAGTAATAGCCCCATAGAGCACCAAAAAGGGAAGCTACCATACACTTGCTCCACTAGGGAAGTCCAGCTATAGCTTGACAGAATGCAGAGTTGGCTGGAGATCGGAGGTGGGGGTGTGTGTGACCTCTATGAGAGATTTGCCAAGAGTCTAAGATCTAAGCTAGTGTCTCGATACATGTCCCTCAATATACCATACCTGCTGGGCACGCCCAGCACTAGCACAAGAGCCGTAAGACCAGCGCAAAGTTTAAGCCACAGGAGTGGTTTTCCTACCATTCGGGTGTATTTCAGCTGTTGCTGGTCTGCAGCATCTAAGGCGCCCTCAGAGCCACCCACTAAGAATTATGGAATTGCCTGACGTGGCAAAGGCTTTACAGGGTGGAAAGCTACAGGGAACACGTTACCTACAGAATGACTATTTTCACTCTGCTGTTACAAAACAGGCCCCAGATCTTCTTGGCTGGAGTGTGACCTGCCTCTCATTCTATCAGCTAATTTTCAGTTCCCATCCTTAAGTGTCACTGCAGAATAGCTCTTACCCATGGTGACATTTTACAGTGTCATGCTTAAAGACATTTCTCATTATTCTGTTAGTCTGATGTCATGTGTGGAACAATGCAATGCACCTGGTTGGCTCTGTGTAGGTAGAAGAGCTCTGCTTAATTTGAAATCCAGGGAAAAACTAAAGACTTGTAAAGAGTAAGTGGTCACCATACAAGTTAAAAGAAGTCAGTGGCTTCTGCATGAGTGCACCACAGAAGTACAGGCAGGATAGCCAGGGAGCTAAATATTGCTTTGGCAAAACATCAAATGAGAGCCACTGCCTTGTGTCTAAACAATGGCACTTGGGAACCAACTAGCCAGATAAACCAAGTTGCTCATTTTGGAAAAACCCACTACACTTTAAAGTAGTGATGAATGAGCCTTCAGTCTAGAGCAGCACCCCTCCAAAACTGCAATCACAACCTTGAATCTTACACCCGTACATGGCTGCCTAGCCTAATACTGGTCTATTAAAAAAGTTGGCAGCATATGTCTCTTAAGATGTGTGGCATGTGAGAACAGATTTCCACTCACTCAGTGAACTTGAGCAAGTGAACCCATCCCCCCCAGATCGGCGTGAACGTCAGCCAGTGTAGATCTATTTAGTAAACACCTCTCCATAAGCCTTGAGCAGCCCAAGTTGTTAAATACAGACATTTTCCTATATTAAACCAGTCATTTCTACACCACATGTAAGCCTTGTTTGCTTTACAGGATTAGCTATTAAAGTGCCTATTTCTTTTAGGATTCTCATCTTCTAGGTGGAAAGACATATGGGTAGAGGAAAGGACTCTGCAGGGGATTAGCCAGCAGGTATTCTTCATCCCTGCCAGGCTGGAAGTAGCAGGTGAGAGGTCTCAGCCCATGCCAGCCCCAGGCCAACAAATGTTGAATATTTTGTATTTCAAAAGCTAGGACTGAACTGGTTTTATCCTCATCTCATGTCTTGGTGCAGGAAGTCTGAGCTGTGGCAATACAGTTCAATAGCCTCGGAGAGTATTTTGTGCCTCGCTCAAGATTGTTCAGAATCAGTTATTTTACCCAACTCTGCATCTCCTTTCTAGGATTCTGCCAATGGACCCAGAGTGAGTCTGATCCCTAAGCACAGTCACGGGTACCAGTGGGAATCACCCTCCTGTAAGACTGGCACTTCAGGCTTCAGCAGCATCGTTCTGGTTTGTTTTACTAGCGTCTTGAAGGAGTGGTGTTGTTTCTGAAGACCAAGATGGTTCAGTCTGTGGGTCTGGCTGTTGTGGGCTCTTCTCTCGGGCGTTTCTCTGAATGAATAAAAGCAAGGACAGGTGACTCAGGGTGCAGCTAGACACCAGCACTGGCATCACACAACCCAGTGACTAAAGATTTACATAGGATACCTGACAGTATGTTCAGCACTGGAATTTATCATGTAAAAACTCCAGACTAATCTGCAGTTTAGTGACACCCACAAAGGGGGAGCCAGCTGCTCCCCCACAACATGTCCCATTCAGAGACCAGAAACTGGGTGTTTATTAACCCACAGCTACTGTCCTCCCAAGGGCAGCAATAAACACTGGGATGAAGTAAATGCTTAAGAGCACCAACACATGGTCCATTTGCTCACAGAACTTTCGACACAGGTTTCAAAACAAAGCCAGGATGAAACAAATCTGGAACTACAGGTTTCAAGAGGGGTGTAAAATTGGCATTTACAACAGTAGCATCTCAATGAGACAGTAAATACATCAGGCATTCTAGATTAATACATTACCCCAGCAACCTATAGCACTTGGTCCATTCCTGGGCTGTTCCATCCTGCCAATGAAAGTTTACTGCAAAAGCCTTTTGCATAGACAAACAAGCTGTATGGCAACTTAACCCCAAAAGCTTTCCAAAGTAAGCATCATGCATGAGCACAGAGTGACCTGGTGACTCATTCTTTAGGAAGTGGTTGACTTACTTTTCTGTAATAAATGAAGAGCAATCCTAATGTATGTAAGCAGTATGAGATAGTCAAACTAATACTGGGCCACATCTTGTCAGAGTATTCTTTAAGTCTAAAGATCAGAAGCAATACAACCCTCTATTCTGCCTAATGAGAGAAGTATTCTCAGCTCCATGTGGGGGCTCCATATTTGGACAGAGCTCCCACCGGGACCTCATGGAATCCCAGGAGAGGCCCCTCCTGGGAGATTTTTACCCCAAGGGAGGTTAAGCAATCTCAGGCTGCTCCACCTGGAAAGTACTTAAGTGTGTGTGTTAGACTCCCTTTTAGGAAGGGCTCTTTTCTGGATTACAGGGCCTTTAACTGGAGTATGTCTCTCGAGCCACAAAGCGAGCACACATTTAAAAGGTTGAACAGTTCAACACCTTGATATAGAAGCTAAAAATATTTAGCATGTGCCAAGAAAGTTTTAATCAATCCATTCCTAATTCACCGCCTTTAAAAGTGTTGCTTAGTCTCGACTGGTGTTGACTGTATCTGTTATAACACTTAAGACTGAAGAGTAACAAGTTTTGGTCTCCAAATTCATTTTCAGATTTGGCCGAAGTGAGGCAGATCCACAGGTGTCACCCAGGCTCTTGTAGGTCATTGCTGATTTTACCCCCCCTCTATGCCCCAGCAAGCAAACGTTCTTACAGATGATAGGACCTCACCTCCATGCCAACTGTCACATACATCTAGCCAATATTGCACCCACCTCCAGAACTGCAGCTAGTGCTTCCCAGGAATCCACCAAGAAGGGGGTTTTGAAAGAAGAGTTACCTGCACCTTCTCTTCCCAACACCTAATGAAGTGCGATCTAAACGCATGCAATAGTCCCATTTCCTAGTTTAACCCAAAGCAAGCTTATTGCCACAGAGCATGAATAAAGTTTACCAAGAGGGCGTGTAGTGTACATGTGAACATTGAGCACTTTAGTTTGATAGATTTAAGCAACATTTCAGCAGATTTATCAAGTTAGCATTGTTTAGAGAAGAGTTTTACCTTTACTGGGTACCCACCTACAGGCTGGCTTCCTGCAGCACCGTCCCCTTAACTGATGTCAACGGTTTTTCGGACAAGGCCTGGTCGGCCTCTTTAGTCTTTTTATTGCTACTCCAAAATAAAAAGCATTTTTCCTAGAAAATAATCAGGCTAGTTTATGTTGTATTTTAAAAGACATTTGGAAGATGTTTCCACTTGAAAAAGGGTGGCTGTATTTAAGTTGTAATCATGGTTTACTTAGTTACTAAATTCTAGTTCTTTACACGGAGTTTAAATTAGAGCTACAACTTTATTAATCTTCTTAAAATAAGAACAATCTGTACCAAGCCATCTTTAAAATGGTCTGTTCACATTTCAGACTCGAGAGACTTCTAATGAAACATAAGAGGGTTTGTTCAGTGGATCGGGATTGTCGCACACAGTCACTGCATGCAAACTTTGCTGTGGTTGTTTTTAAAGCTTTTGGTTGGATTGGTGGGACAGACAGACACCATTTTAAATTGGCTCAAGTTATAATTCAGAATCTAACTTTGCATTTAAGAGACTATTTAACATTTTCCAGTATCTCATTGAGGTTGAGTAAGCAACAGTGCTCCCTCTAGAAAGCTGCTCTGGGAAATGAAGTACATTTTATATGCAGTTGCAAGAATTTAAGGAGATTTCATAATGGATCACAGATGGATTTAGAGTCTTTGCCTTAACCACAGGCACTCAGTCAAGAGCATTCTGGCTCTTCAGAGGGAGGACTGTGGTTGATTAAGCAATCTATTAAGAGCTGATTATTAACACTTCACTAGAACAATCAAGAATGTACCTTAAATGCAGCTTTTATTTTGACCTGTGTTGCAGTTTGTATTATGCATCTATTGATCACTATGTAGTTACATAACCCTAAATGCTCAACATGATTCCCTTACAAATTTATAGGGCCACTTCCAGGTTCTCTGCTGTGATTTTTGTTCACTCATTTTTCAGTGGGTAAGAAGAAAGTTTCTTGAAGTCACATTTGGTTGTGTAGCACCAATACAGGCTCAGTTGTGGCTTTGCTGGCAACACTAGTTGCTCACCAATGGATAATTGCAACTGCCTTGTGCCTAGGATTCTCTTTTGCAGATCAGTATTCACAGTTTGCTACCAGAGGCCTCCATTCATGCAAGTGGCCAATTGGAGTTCGTTGACCCTATACTGAATCCCCATTGGTAGAGTGCTCCCTGTATAGGATACCCATGTTTTAGGGTCTGTTGTGGTGTGTGTGTTAAAACCAACTCCTGTAGAGTGGCCACTGGAAGGAGCTGTGAGACAGTGTCTGACAGCAATACACTGGTTGCAATTGCTCTGCATAAACACCCCCACAGGAAGTTTTGGGCTGGGCTTCCCTACAGAGTTAACTAGGTTCCTTGCTCTGCGCTCAAAGCCCCGCCTGCACCTAAGGGTGCAAGAGCTGGATAGAGCAGGGGTGTAAAGTCTCAGACCAGCATAAATGTGGAGTAGCTTCTGGTTTCCTTAGATTCCAAGGCTAGGGGGGGACCATTGATCTAGTCTAACTGCCTGTATCACACAGGCCATAGAACTTCCCCATAATATTTCCTTTCAAACTACAGCCTTTTTAAAAAAAAACAAAAACCACACCCTTGATTTAAAGGATGCCAGGAATTGAGAACGCACCCACAACTCTTGTTACATTTTCCTATGGTTAATTATCCTCCTTGTTAAAGTACGATCAAAGTCAATTGTGTGGTTCCCACTTTATGCCAAGGAATAGCAGCACTTTTGCTTTTCACATGATGGCGCTCACTACTAACAGGTCAGTCACTTGTACAATAGTTTTGATCATCATTTATGCCAGCTAATTTACTAATCTAAATCACTTCAGAGAACCATCAAGTGAATCAAACACTATTGAATCAGTTTCACTATACAGTAAATGGTTTAGCTTTAAGATTACAGACCTGGTATTCCTTTGGAATTGTTCATCCACGCTCACTTTGCAACAAAGGGATTTGGAAATAATATGCCCAAGTCAATTATGCTGCCGTGTGGCTTAGTTTAAATCCAATTATTTACCACTTGGAAAACCCTGGCAACTAGTTAACTGCTGATATTCAAACCCATTTTAAGGTAAGTGGGATAAGGAACAGCCTGCCATGTCTTTAGTGTAGGCAGAAGTCAGGATTGTTTCAAGGATTTAAGGACTGGAGGGTAAAGTAGGATCTGCTTGGGCATCTGTTGCAGATATCACAATTGCAGGCAAGTTGAGCAATTTAAAGCCAGAATCAAATGAGCTAGTTGGGAGGAGTATGTACACACACACGTGACTTGCTAGTCAATAACCAGGAGGCTGTTTTAAAGCAAACAGACTATTTGGAGTCTTTCCAGGTGCACATTTTGGGGCCAAAGTTCAAAGATGTCATCATCAAGGGTTGTTTTAAAGCATTAACTTTTGGCATCTTCATGCGTTATCCTCATGTTACACAGCAATCCTCAAGATTACTCCAGCACAGTAAGGGAGTGGGATCACCCCATACTGTCTCTAAGTCCCAAGGCCACTCATGTTGAAGTATCCTATATGCTGCACTCTGAGTAAACAGCAGATTCTCAATACCACTTGATGATCCTCCTCAAGAGAAAGGGCCCCAGGAAGTTTTCCCATCTTAAGTGTACCTGGGAGGAACTACTGCATATGTACACTGGTTTACAGACTTGTTAGGAACTTGGGAGCTGGCTTGAGTCACTAAGGCCTGGTCTACACTACAGTTAGATCGACAGAAGCTGCCTTGCATCGACCTAACTACATCCATGTCTACACTTCAGCCTTGTCCCACCCACGTAAGTGCCTTACTACACCAGCATAACTACTCCACCTGCACGAGAGGCTAATTTTGGTGTAGTTAGGGCGATACAGTGTCTGTGTAAACACTGTTACTTACATGGGTTGGCCCCTGCTCCCAGGAGGGAATGGAGAGGTGGGGAGGGCAGCTTATCAGGAACTGGTGGGCTCTCAGCTCCCCACACTGCCCCTCTGAGGTTGGTGGAAGTGCTCCTGGTGAGAATGCAGACCACCAAGCCAAGGAAGGTAGAGCGGACATGCACCACTGTAGTAATTACTGGGGTGGCTGTAAGTCGACCTAACAAAATTCAGTGTCGAAATATCCTAAAGTTGCTAAATGCACAGAATCCATTGCTGGAGTCTGAAGTCTAGAATCTGAACTACTGTCATATTGCTGCCTTTGGTACTGGGGGGGCAGGAGGGGAATAGGAATCAGGGTTCCAGGAAAGAGGGAGAAAGCAGCTCATCCTCTTCTTTCCTGCTTGCTGCATTGAACATAGTGAGCTCCTGGCCCTATTCCAGTCTATTTTACCCACTGCAAAAGGATCCCAGCCACTACAGAAAGTGGTTGCAGTCCAGACTTCTAGGAGGTTTAGCAAACCCCACTGCTAAGGCACCTAGTGATCTGAAATAGAGATGTCACTCAGTGACAAGCAGCAGCTAGGCAAGGGAATATCTTTTACTGGACCAACTTCTGTTATGAACAGAAACAGACAAGCTTTTGAGCTCGAGGTCATCTAAAGCAGCGCTCTGTGAGCTTGAAAGCTGGTCTGTCTCTCTTGGCAACAGAAGTTGGTCCAATAAAAGATATTACCTCACCCACCTTGTCTGGCTAATATCCTGGGACCAACTGCCACAACACTGTATAATAAGCCAGACTTCTGGAGAGTAAGCTTGGGGTTTAGCTCGTGAAAGGAAATGTTCATATACTTTGAGCCATTCAAGCAATAACTAACAAGCATCAGTGGCTACTTCAACACTTGCTCTGGTCAGACCAAAAAAAGAAGGGAGAGTGACCTTCCCACACCTATCACATGGCGGAAATGGCTTGTAGGAATGTTGATGAGGAATTTGGAGGCAGGGCTGGAAGATACAAGACAAAGAAGCCTCATTGATCTTAGTGTCAGCTAAAAAGGCCCACTCATTTGTTGAAGTCTTTCAGGTGTTCAGAGTTAGAAGTGAGCAGAGGTGAGCAATGCCCCCTAGTGCCTACTTCGCAGCAGGGAGTATGGCCATCAAGTATGACATCTCAAGACATCAGCAATCTTACATTAGATTAACTAGCACTACAATTGAAAAAAAAAATCAGAAATTTCTGGATTAGGTTGAAAGTTGGCATCAGTTGATTAAGCCATGAGTTTTGCCATTTGCTTGTTCCTACCTGTCTCTTTACCTCCAGTACAATGGCAGCAACAATCAAAGCGACACCCAGACCGATGCAGATATATTGCACATACTCCAGCACAGATGGGATCAGTACCAGGTTGGTGTAGAACTGCTTTAAGACTGAACCTTCAATGGCCCCGCTCTGCCCAGAAGAGAGTAGTTTTCAGTGGTAGTTTTGCAGATCATAGTTCACAGCACAGCAATTCTGTATTAGTGGTGTCCCTGCTTCCTCTAAGGCATGGCTTGGAAAACTTATTTTGGCATAGAGCAATTCAGTGATGTGTAAGAAGTTAACAGACCACAAGGAAATAAATGCTAGTCTTTAAAACAGAAGCTGCATTGAAGTTTGTACTACCAATAGTAGGTTTAAGACTTCCCGTAGGCATTTTAACTTGTAATAAATGCCTAGGTAGCCGGGGCTAAAATGTTTGGGCTAGCGACATTAAGTTTTATTCATTTCATTAAGTGAATAATACCCAGCATGCCCTTCCAGCTTGTACAGCTGGTAGGAGTTTGCCCACCTGTGTTAACTTGGGAGACCTAGACCGAGAAGTTAAGCGAGAATATCACTGATGCTTTCTAAACACACAAGTGATCAGAAGAGGTTACGCACTCAAATTGCAAGATTAAGTGTGCAGACAAGTGTTTCTAATCCATTTATGCAAAGTTCCAATTAAGAACAGTGCAGCTTAGACCTTTACTCCAGTTGCAGTTTCTCCAGTAAAGACATGTAACGCTGCCCTTCTAGTCCCTTCCCACACTGCTCTCATTACAAACCATCTACTTCTTCCAACTGCCCCTGCATTTCCTCCTTTTCAGTACAGATTTTGCATGGTTAACATTACTTTTCCAACCAAGGGGAGTCAATCCAACTCACCTCTGCAAACCAAAGTATAGGCAAGACAACCGGCTTGATCTGTCCTGTTTGACTAAACAGAAAGAAAGGTTCACACTTATATTTATAATCAGTCAATCGACACATACCAGCGTTATGCTCCAATGGTTTCTAAGGAGCTGGTCAGTTTTTACCAGACATTTCAAAATTTGATAGGCCTGAAGACAATGGAAAAAAGTTGATTTCCCCCCCCTCCCATTTCAGTGAATTCTTTCTATGCAATATTAGGTCTGATTAAACTGCTTGGATGCAAAACTTTAAAGTTGTTAGTTTTAGGGGAAGAACTTGAATTTTAGTTGATGTTTAATAAGTACAGTCAGCATTTCCCAGATATTACCGTAGTATCTGAAATACCATGGTTCTTCCCTTAGACTTCCAAAAGGGATCACTTAGGAAGCATTGAGTTTAATGGGAACCTCTGTGCTTAATCCAAGAGTTGTTATAATGCATTCTGGCAACCTATGTGGTACTGGAAGTGTAGGTCATAGGTGTTGCTGCCTCAGCTAATTGTTAGAGGCTGGAATAAACCTGGTCTAGAGAGCGCAAGTTTACCTCCTCCTCCAAGAGCAAGTAACCTACTGCTCCAAGTGCTATTGCACCAGATTTCGAGAAGAGCTCAGCACCCAGTTTGGAAGTCTGGCCACGTGTTTTGATACTTGAGTGGCAGGAGCGTGCTCTTGGAAGGCCGACTGCAATTGTGAGCACACAACATTTCAGAACTCTGACCCAGGGAGTCTACTTTGTATTTCATTTGCAACAGGGCCATCAGAACACGGATGCTATTGCATGACTAGGCACTGCTCCATTCCAAGCTCTTAAAGCTGCAGTCTGGTGTTAGGCTATGTCTACACTAGAAATGCTTTGCCAATATATCTCCTAATGTGGATGCAACTGTAAAAGCAAAACTGCACTTTGCACCAGTATAGAAGCCACCCCCACTCCAAGTGAAACAAGCTAAGAGCAGTTTTGCCAGTATCACCGTGTCTGCACTTGGGTGTTCTGATGGCATAGCTGTGTCAGGGGTGTGAACACCACAGCCATGTTGTCAGGACTCTAGTGTAGACATAGCCATGAACTGGTACAGAGGTTTCGTCCAAATAGCTAAAGCAAGATAAAGAAGAAAGCCAACTGAAGAGGCATATACCTGCATATGGTGCGTTACATGGGGAAAGCCACATGGGGCTTGTCTGTTCATGAGCTCAGCTGAGTAGAAATGTCTCAGAGAAGGCACTGGGCTTTGAGGTATTTTTATGACAATATCTTGACAAGTTTAGGTTTGACAACTGACGTGAAATTGAGGAATGGGATTAGACAGTGAATAGATTGTACTACATAGAGCTGGTTTTGGATCCAGAAGAATTATAACAAAGAAGCTATTCAAACAGCATTACATTTGTGAAGCACGTAAGCCACATGTCTCTTGGACATCCCCAAAGCAAGCTACTTACCTTATGCCAGAGACCTTCTTTATATACAGACTCAGTTGCAGCTTGATGGAGCAGTTCATTGGAATTCCCGTGACCTGCATTAAAACAGGAAACCAAGCACATCTCAGCAATACTACCTGGTGTTCATGTAGAAGAAAGCTTTTTTTTTTTTAAACACCCAAACCACTAACAGAATTGCAACACGTGAAAGCGCCTAGCACATGCAAAACAGGTGAGGGAAGGAGAACAGAAAGCGGGTAAATGGCTCTGAGGAAGACCTTGCCTTAGGAGGCAAACTGTATCATTGCTTTTCACTTTAAGCCTGGGCTATGGGGAGTGCTTAAGCAGAGACAAGGTGGTGTGGCAGTTGAGTCAGGATTCAGAAAACAGAACAGAACAGTTTTCTAGGAAGATCATAACCTCTTCTGGGAAATCTGATGAGTTAGCAGAAGAACTCTTTCAGAAGGTACTTGAAAGGGTTCTCCAAGGTGGGCGACCAAACCATTCCTCAAATCACAAGACAAGATTAAAAGCCAAAGCTGGCACAGAAGAACTGCTACTACTGATACAGAGTAGTGCTAACAGAGAAACACCGTAGCAGACCAATATTGTCAAGTCAGCACACAGCAAGGCCAAATAACTGACTTACACTCTAAAAAACAACAAGACCTTGTGGCACCTTAGAGACTAAAATTTGGGCGTAAGCTTTTGTGGGCTAAAACCCACTTCATCAGATGCACTCAAAGGCCTAAAGGCAAGTTGGCACTATTAAGAAATTGGGTGTTTGTATCCTAGTCTAATTTATGAAAAGAGTTTTAGTGCAAGGTCAGCTTGCTTTGACGTTTAAGAGCATGAGTTGTCTGCAGGGCAATATCCTAAGTGTCAAGGTGGTAAGATGCACAAAAAGCCCTGTCACTGGGGAATTTGGCAAGCGAACGACCACCCACACAAGGTTTCATTCTTTGATTCAAGCCACTTACTAATCATTTAGTCACATTACTTCCACAGTGGTGCCAACATCCATGAGGATGACTGACAGGTGTTTAGATACAAACTGTTGGACTATCAAAACATCTGCCAAAATGATGTTACTATGGAGAGTTAAAGCTAACAAGATTAAGGCTTTAGTAGGATTGCAACATCACTACAGCGTCCTGTCTATGGGTAGCATAATACTCATACACCTATTTAATAGCTTCCCCACCCTCACTAGCCTTTCCCACGCCTCTGCTACTAACCTCCAATAGCTTTGTAGTGCGAAGCAACAGAACATTATGAATTGTGCAACTGAGGTTTTATCTCCATGGCTCGTGTTTATTACGGCTATTTTAATTAAGCCTTATTGCCATGGACTTTATTTTATGGTCTACACAGATCAGCAAGTAATGGGGGGAAATTAATCTTTTCCTTTTAAAGAGCCAAAGTACACTTCTCTGCCCAAATAGTGTAAAAACCATGGACTGATGGCGCATAGCCCTAGTCGCAAGAAACTGCTTAGCTCTAGACCAGGGGTCAGCAGCCTTTCAGCAGTGGTGCGCCAAACCTTCGTTTATTCACTCTATTTTAAGGTGTTGTGTGCCAGCAATATATTTTAATGTTTTTAGAATGTCTTTCTATAAAACTAAAATATAGAACTAAACTATTGTATGTAAAGTAAATAAGGTTTTTAAAAGGTTTAAGAATCTTCATTTAAAATTAAATTAAAATGCAGAGCCCCTCCCCCCCAGACTGGTGGCCAGGACCTGGGCAGCATGAGTACCACTGAAAATCAACTCACGTGTGCCATAGGTTACCTACCCCTGCTCTAGAAGATCTTACCCCTCCTTATCCCTGAAGATTGACAAGACACTTGCATGAGAGCTATTGTTTTGGTTAACCAGAGGAGTTTATTTTAAGCCTGTGCATTTGTCTAAAGGCAGGCTTAAAACAGCTCTACAAGTGATACCTAGAAGTCAGAACACAGCCCCTTAATGGGGTCAAGATGGCTTCATTGCCCTGCAACCCAACCTCTGGTAAGAGCACCACTGCACGTTGTAAGTCCTATAGCTGCTGGTCAGGAGGCGATCCTCAAATTGCATTCTCTAGAGTTTTAAAAAAGCCTTTAGAGAGCATGCCTTGGTGCTTGTTTCCTGGAGAAGCTCTATAAAATATGGGATCCAGGACAGCAACTGGACTTGAGGATTGACCTGGTAGCCTACCAAGCTGGAGGTGTCTATTATACATTGGAAGTGGAAGAGAAACAGGTGAGAAATAGAACAAAGTCACAAGAGGAGCCAGCAAAAGCTAGTAACCAGAGGGGAACAGAATAAGGAAGATTCCCCCAGAAGGTTCAGTTAAGTTTTAGAACAAAGTTTAAGTTTTAGGACCGGCTCATCCAAAAGTGTGTTGAAAGGGGGTCCAATAGCAGTAAGAAGTGCAGGATGCAGCAAAGTATTTATTCCTCCACGTTTGTAGTGACAACAGCCTGTCAGGAGGGCACCTACAGTTATAGCTGTTGCACAGTCACTAGGAAGTGTGCCCTGTTTGTACATTTGAGTATGCCACTGGGCTACTTCTCACAGCATCAAAATGGCTTTGCTCTGTAACTTCATGGACAGTATTCCTGTTTGCACCACAGAGCAGAGTCTTACTGCCTGATACTAAGGAAGACTACGACATTTCACCCACTACAATAGGTGGGCAGTCAACTCCAGGTAAGTATTTCTCCAGGATTAGCTGGTGCTCGTCAGACCTGTATGTTGTCTTGACAGACTGTGCAAGAGAACAGCTAAGTTCTGACTAGATACAGCCTAGTGCAGGTTCTTGGTGAGGTTTGATGTGCAGTGAGGAAGGGGGGAGAAAAGGGTTTGAACCTCATTTATTCTCCCTTAGCACATATTAGACTTTTATTCACTAATTTTGAAAAGCCCCTTAATGGACTGAGAAGTCATTCCCAGCAGGGCAATTAGACCAGAGCCGTCAACACAATTATGCTGGTGATGTGTCTATCTGGCACGCTGTACTTTGCAATTCTGACAGTAGATCAGTGAGTTTGTTTTAATTATGGTTTTACAGCCATTTTATCTAAACACATCTCAGCAATAACCATTTAAAATCCTTGTACTATGGAATCTGCTCTTGTGCCAGTTTTAGTGCCAGAGTGTGAGTAAGTTGACAGGCAGCTAATGTGTGGCGCTGTCTAAAGCCTACACTGAAAACATTCCCAGACACCTCTTTGTGCAGAGCTTAGACAGAAAAACCATCTAGAGTCATTCTCTCAAGAAAGCCTGCATGCGACTTGAAGCCAGCTCACCGGATGAACGTCAAGGAAGAGCCCATGCTGCTCCTTATTGGGATGTAATCCATCGACAGCTTCCACCAAGACAGGGTCAGCATCGTAGAAGTGTGGGTGGGATATGAACACTGGTGCATCTGAACAGAGTTAGGTCACCTTAGAGGGCTTGCATGAACATGCTTATTTAGAGGAGTTAGCCGGCTAAGAAAACGCAGACAAGATCTTTTGGGTTGGAAGCTGGATCCTGGGGTGTCTGCATCCCTCCCCTGGCCCCCAGCAGCCCACCACCCCATGCTCCAGACTTGGGTAGAAAAATCAGTCCTAAGCCTGCTTTGGCAGATGAGTGTGAAGGAGATTTCCATACCTTCCCTGGCAGTTTATTCCATTGCTTAGTGAAGCTTAAAATTTCTTAATCCTTAACCTACTTTTTCCCCTGCAGCTTAATCCAATCACTTCTCACAGTCCATGTCGATTTAATGACACTGTCATCAGGCATCTATGCATTTGGAGATTGTGAAACCTCTGGCTTCACAAAACTGGACAATTACCTTTCTGGGGCCTGCTGTTCTCCAGAGAAACAGCTGAAAGGTGATTTGGCTTCAGCTTAGCTCTTTGTGTGCCCCCAACTGATGCATTTCTCTCTTCAATTGTGCTTAACTATTTCCCCTCCACATCAGGTTAGAGATGTACAGCTTGAACACAGGACAAAAACCTTGCATGAAAATGTATCTGTCCTTATTGCTAATCCCCTGGAAATGCTCAGGATACAATGAAGGGGCTTTTGTACAGCCTATAGACCCATGCCATCTCTGTACACAGCACAAGCCAAGAGTAAAAGGCTTGGTTCTAGAGGGCAACAGTCACCGAGTTCTCGTTAGGATCTGGATATTTGCAGTTTTTAAAACCGATTGCATGGGCAACAAGTGCTGCCAGAGGTGGCATGCCAAAAGGTAATCTATATAGCCCATCAAAAGTTGTGCAATCTCAAATTAAGACCTGTTGCCTATTTTTCTTGGGCCATCACTGCCTTACGCAAGGCAACAGCCTAGAATGATCTTTTAAAAAAAGCCACATGCAATAGAATTAGAACTGTGCCCATTTTGTAAGTTAGAGGTGTAGCATAACTGCTTGGAGCAAAAACAAGCATCCCAAGTATTTTGTCACCTATTTTCATTGAGCTTTACAGAGACATTTGTAGTAATTCTAGAAAAAGCAACAAAGAGTCCTGTGGCACCTGATAGACTAACAGATGCACTGGAGCATAAGCTTTCGTGGGTGAATACTCACTTCGTCAGACACATGCAAAAAGCTTATGCTCCAATACATCTGTTAGTCTATCAGGTGCCACAGGACTCTTGCTTTTTACAGATCTAGACTAACACAGCTACCCCTCTGATATTAGTAATTCTAGAGTGACTGACAATATCCTAAAACTAGTTCTTGATTTTCCTTTGTTTGCTTTAAAGCTTCAGGCCCTCCTCCCCACCTCCTTGCACCTTACTTTACTTACACAGGTGAACAGCATGGGTGAAAGTGCTACACAATCAGAATTCCCCAGGCATGCTGCCATTGGTAACTAGTTGTATTGCTTAAGCAGTAGGAAGACCATAAAGAGATTTGCCTCAAGGGAGGGATGGGAAAACTACTGCTTATGGCTTGAGATTAGCCTAGCCAACACAAGAGTCGCCTAGGGTGCATTCTCTGCAATGAAAGGGAATGGACTGCATTGCATAATAGCTTGGTCTCCAACTGCTATTGGAGAGAGACTGACATACAACTCACTCATTCTACAGGTGCTGACATTCTGGATTCCAGATTCCCTGCAGGGGCAGAAGCCTTCGTTTGGGGGATAATCTGTTCCGTTAGCAAATAAAGTCTTCGGAGCCACAAAGCGATAGGTCGGCACCCCTTTAAATACTCCAGACTGCTCATACACTAGCTTCATGGATCTAGAGAAATTACAGTGAAATATTAGAGGGAAGGAGAAAGCTTTTCTTACAGATAACTAAGGGATGCAGATGAGCTGCTTTGTGGGGTCAGCGGACTATTCGATGGGCCATATCTGCTCTCCCTTGTTTAGTCTCAAGTTTAAGAGAAGGCTGTCAGGAGAAAGTTCACCCCTATTACATCTGGGGCATCTCTCTCAGGGGTCCTGAGCAGTGGCACAAACAGTCTATGGGGCACTCTGGTAAGAGGGGAATCAGGAAAGAACATGTTGCTGCACTCAAGCAGGACCGCCCAGAGGATTCCAGGGGCCTGGGGTCTTTGGCAGTGGGGGGGCCCCTTGCCACCGAAGACCTGGCACTTTGGCTGCAGGTCCCGGGGTGGAAGAACCCCCCGCTGCAGGTCTTTGGGGCACTTTGGCAGTAAGTCCCGGAGCGGAGGGACCCCTGCCGCTGGAGACCCAGAGCAGAAGCAGCTCCGGGCGCCCAGTCCCTGCAAGAGTTTTCCGGAGGGATGGGGGGGTTGTGAAGAAACTAGAGGAAGTGAAGGACCCTGCTCCAGGGGCCCTGAAAAATTCTTGTGGGGGCCCCTGTGGGGCCCAGGGCAAATTGCCCCACTTGCCCCGCCCTGCACTCAAGGAAAGTGAACAGGGATGCAGAGAAGATTCCACGCCCCCTTCCTCATGTAGTTTCACCCATGTGACTCTAGGAGTCAGAGTCCGTCCAGTGGGAGAGCTCTTCCCTTGTCTAGTTCTGGGATAGCTGTACTCAGAGCATGTTACTGACCCCTTGATTGGAGACTAAGTACTTAACCCTGCATTCTCCCTTCCAGGAAGCCAAGTTTTTTCTCCTACAGGAAGGGCAGGTGATCCCGATAGACAGCAGCCTGCAAGGTTCACATAAATACCATGCCAGGCACTGGGGAAACATTCTGTATAGGCATAGTGTTAATTTCAGTTTGTAAGAGCATGAGAACAAGGCAAGGGGACTGAATTGGAAGTGACCAATGTCATTTCCTCACTGGGACCCACAACACCATGACCTGACTGGAGCACGTTGGACTCCACAGGCTTCCATATGCAGAGCGAGCTATTTATTTGGAGGTGAGTGGTGACTGCTGCATGGCATGGAGTGCCAAGAGAAACAGACGGTTACTTTGGCCTGCAGGTTATTGCTCATCCTTGGAAGGGGATCTTTTGGCTTTGTTAGAGAAAGCTAAGGCCAACCGATTATCCTTGCTTGATTCTCACAACCCACATCTCGGGACTCTTAACTACTAGGGTGCCCAAACCTGGGTCCTTAGCACTAAGTTATCTTGGTATTACGGAATACCTTCGGCACACAGATGTTAAGTTTCTATTTTAAGACACCCTTTGGCTTAGTGAACTAGTTTGCATGATAACTGGGAAAAGTTAAAAACCAAACGTTTTCTATTCTGTTTGCTGTCATAGCAAGAACTTACTGTTTTGCATTGCAACTGCTACCGAGTAATGCAATTAGTGTTGTCAGTGTTGCAGACTGAATCAGTTTTGAAATAAATGAACTTCTCTGCCCCAGCGATGCAGACAATGCATGTTAAACACTTTATACAAATATCAGGACTCTTTCCTGTTCACTCTACTGCCAGGAAAATAACCTCCTGGCTTTTCAGCCCCTATAGAATCTGTGGAAATGCATCACTGCTTCCAACTGGGCCATTCCAAGTACTGTTAACAATAAAGGTCACCACTTTAATACCAAAAGGGACATGCTGCAGATCCTTTAAATTCAGGAAACAGCCCAAAGGCAGCAATTGGAGTAATTAAGCTGGTTAGAAAGTGAAGAGTACTTTTAGCTTCCCTGAAGTTACTTCTGCAATTGACTTTCCTAGAATTCATAGAAGCTGAAACCAGATGGCACCACAGCAAACGTGGTCTGACCTTCTGTCTAACAGGCTGTAGGACTTCCCTGTATTCATTCTAGCTTGAAATAGAGCAGAGAGGAAAAACACCCAGTCCTGATTTTTAAGGAAGTTTCCAGTGATAGAGAAACCACAGCCACCCTTGTGAAGATGTTGTAATGGTTGCTTACCCTGTTAGAAGTTCGCACCTTATTCCTAGTCTGAGTTTATCTAGCTTCAACTTCCAGCAATTGGATCTGCTACACCTTTGTCTGCTAGGTTGTTTGAGTCTTTGAACACAGCTGTTCTAGAACATTTGATAGTGTGGTCTACAGGCTAAAGCAGAGATTGGACTAAGGAAGCCTTGATTCTATTCCTCTGCCTTGCATGATTTCCAGCCTCCATTTTCCCCTTTTGGGGATGCTAATATCTGCTCACCTTTGAGTTTGCACTGGTCTACTGCCTTTTCATCATTTTTTGAGAGCAGCAGATCTTTTGATAGTAAGATGTGCCCAATCAGACAAACAACTGTACTCTGAATATCTGAGATCACTTCAGAACTCTACCTTGAACACTGGGTGGTAGTTGAAGTTTAGTTCTACAAATCAGTGTTATTTTAGAGGACAGGTGAGTTATAATGAAGATAGCTATTTAACTAAGCAAGACCACACGTCTTCCAGCAACACTGCATTCTGAAGCTGAAGACTTTGCACTTCCAGTCACGGTTAGACATGCAGATACAGCATACAAGACAAAATTTAAACTAATCTTACCGACAGGCATCAGGACTATAAAACTCTAGAGAAGAGGAAGGGGTCATGAAAGGAGGCCACATCTCTCCAGAAGTCCCATTGATCATGTTACACTCATTGGAGTGCCAGTAATTCACCTGCAAGAAAAGTTGCAAGAGGAATTTAAAAGCCAGACTGACAGCTATGTTAGCCAAACAATTTCCTCTATATTTTAGCCTTGAGTGGTTTGCTTGTTCCTCATCCTCCACTTCAAAATAACGAGTCTTCCAGCAGTTCTACTTGGTAAGCAGCAAAGCAAGAGTTCAAAGAAGTCTAGAAAGCTCAAACTAGACCTTTCAAAAGAGTGTCAGGTAAACCTTGTCTCCCATCCAACAAGAGGAATCCAGTCCCTCACTATTTAAGATGGACAATTCATGCAGTGGTGCCTCCTGAGATGTCATTTCTTGCCAGAATAAGCAAGAGGTGGTAGGACCTCTCTAGAGCTCCACAGGTGCTTGGAAGGTTTTTTTTAAATAAAGGGAATGAAAAAAGGGAAGTAACGTTAAGAGGGTCTTCAAGTTTCCCCATGCATGAGTGCCATCTTTATGTTTCAAAGTCCCATTTCCCTCCAAACGGACTTTGATGCCCTCATATTTGAGGAGAGGGCAAATAAATACCAGTGCTTCATGACAAAATAGATTTAGGGAATCAGAAGTCAGCAATGCTAGCCTATCTGGGAACAGCAGGCTTTGAATTGCAGCTACAAAAAACCACACCCCACTTTGTAGGGCTGCTAAAATTGGCCATTAGACAGGCACTAGTATGATCCAGAGGCCGCTGGAGAGTTTTTCCACTTGAAGTTGCATCACTACCAAGTCAGTCTTACTAAAATATCCAGAGTTTGAAAAAAAGCCTGAGAACTTGTTAGTCATTGTCTTGATTGTCAGTGTGTTATTCACAGGAAGCCAATATTTATTTAGCTTGCCTTCTCCAAGCACTAACCTTCCAGCTAGGTTACAAGTCTTAAATCTTAGAAGGGGGTCATGGTGCAATGTTTGAGACCCCCTGATCTGACAAAAATAATCAAGGAACAACCCCAGAAGGGGGACTGGAAGCCTGAGCACCGCTGCCCTTGGGGGGGTGGGGAGGAGAGGGCAAAGCAAAATCCCACTGGCCCTGGTGGGGGGGGGGAGGGGGAGAAAAGGGGAGAGAACAAAGCCAAAGTCCAAGGACTTCAGCCCCAGGCAGGTAGCCTGTAACCTGAGCCCTGCCACTCAGGGCTGAAGCCCTCAGGCTTTGGCTTCGGCCCTGGGCGGTGAGGCTCGGACTTTGGCTTTGGCCCTGTGCCCCAGCAAGTCTAAGCCAGCCTTGGCAAACCCATTAAACCAGGGTGGCAACCCACTTTGGGATCCTGACCCACAATTTGAGAACCCATCTTAGAACTTTGTCTAGCATCAGGCACCATTTTAACTTCAGGTGAGAAAAAAACCACACAGTCAGCCATAGAGAGCTCTCGACTGATTAGCAGAACGTTGTTAGGCGAAGAGGTGTCATTATAGAAAGCTAGAGTCGCTTTCTAGAAAACAAGGGTACATTTACCTTTTTTAATCCATTCCATGTATCCACTATGTGGATCTGATTGATGTCTGTGGCCCCAGTATACACAGTGAACAGTCCTGTATTCGAGTTGTTAAACTGTACAAAAAAAAAAATGAATAACTTCCCCAGACCCATCCTATGCAGCAAGATGACAGCCTGTGGCAGCATCGCTACCTACGTAAGCTTAGTTCTGTGGACGCTGTCTGAAGACTAACCAGGTTAACAATGACTTTGCTGACTAACTCCTTCCTAGGTATGCCTAGGGACATTTTAAGTGCCTCCCCTGCTGGGGCAGTGCGGCCTAGTATTTAGAGAAGGGGAATGGGAGTCAGGACTCCCAGGTTCCATCCCAGTCTTGGCACAGACTTACTATGGGACCTCAAGCAAGTGTGCATCAGGTCCCCTATATGCAAGACAGATAATACGGAACAGGAATGTGGGAGGCTAAATGAACTACTGTTTCAATGCAAGGTTGCAAGCAGTGCAGAAGTGAACACAGCAATACTTAGCTTCTTGAAAGAGATGGGTTATGAGACACATGTCCTTGTGGGCGACATTCACCTGCATGAACAATCCTATGTTGGTAAAGGGGTAACCTAAGAGTTGGTTTTAATGTTACCAAGCATGAGTTTACTTACATCTATAAATAAGCCAAACTTCCCCTTGAAAGGGATCAAACCGGGCACAAAATTGTTCAGCACGTCTATAAGCGGGTCGTCATAGCCCCACAAGATCTCTCCCACAGTTCGGTTCATAAAAGCGTCCTGTCCCAAGCCAGCCAGTGCGCCACTTATTAACACCTTCAAAAAGTGAGGTAGCTTCTCCATCATAATGGCTGCGCCCTAGGGTAGAGAGAGATTCAGACAGCAGATACCAGGATGCCATTTGGTACAGGAAGTGAATGTTAACAAGTAACAAGTGAAAGTTAGTGTCGGCTCCATTGTTCAGCCAGCGGGTCTGAAGCTCCAGGATGGATTCCTCAAGCCAGAGAGTTCTCCCACAACTTGAGCCTTTTGCAGTTACGGTGTATCCTGTGCTTGCAGTGGGAGGTAATATTTTCTGCTCTGAGTTCTGCTAAATGCTCATTCAAATCCCATGTGACCCCCTGGTTTTACACTGTCACAAACTACACTCACCCTGGCTTAGCTAAGACTAATGAACCAAACTCACCATTTCTCCCCCTGCCCCTCATCAATTCCCTGGAAACACCCATTTGGTTTTAGAAAAAACCAGACCCCAGTGACACTCAATCACATTGTAACAAGGTCACCAATTATCACAATCCAAGGTACTTTCAGTAGTCCTCTGTGGAGAAGGCAGGGACAGTTTGAAGTGCTAAGGTGATGCTTTCTGTACATGCTCCAGTACCACATGGTGTGAGCAGTGGCTCTTGTATTGTCCAAGAGCTTTGTTGGAGAGACTTGATGCTGGCTTCCCCCAGCCGCTTTACCTCAGCGCTGGCTGCAACACACCATTGGTTTAATAGGATACCCCTCATCTACTTGAGAACTGAGCCTGCCCCCCAAAAACACACCTGTTCTGGACAATTTCATAGTTGCCTATACCTCCCCCCTTTTGCAGGAGTGAGCTATTAACACCCCACCCTTCACTTCCAAGTTTTGGAAGTAGGGATGAACAGGGTAGTATTGTCTGAGGTGGACTGCTCCATTTTGGGTTTTGTGGCTACCCCCCCCCCCCCCATCATCTGTATCTTGACAGAATGCCTTTATTCTTGTCAGAGACACATTTTGCTCAATCACCCCTCCTGCTTACCCAAGAGCAGGTGATTACAACTGTGCAAAGCTATCAAAATACCCACAAAGAGAGAAACAAGTTCCTCACGTCCTGTAGGCCACAGCAGCCATACGGGCCTGTCCTGGATTAGTCTAGTGTCTATAGTCTAAGCAGGGGAATGCACAGCCTTTGCAAGGCAGGCTGGTAGATTGTCATTTTAGGGTGCTGCAGCAGGGTAACTCTCCCAACCCCTGCAGACACAAGAGTAAGGAATACCCCTCTGGAGTTTAAAGTAGTCTTACCATCACAAGGATGTTTGGCACAACAATGTAATCCTCTTCCATCCCATCAGACAGGTCTGGCTGGAAGAAAAATCTCCGGTATTCCAGGAAGGAAACTGTACCATTGTCATGGAAAGTTATATTGGTTTTATACCTGTATTCTCTAGTTAAAAAAATTAAAAAAGCAGGCATAAGTAATCATAGGGGCACTTTCCCCAACAGCTCCAGATTACATTTCTCCAACTCCCATGTTGCAGGAGTCAGAGCAAAGCTCACACAACCTGCTAAGGTTTTGCTGGCATGTTACTAGTGCCCTTTCAGCTCTGGCTTCATTAACTCCATGGCTGAAGTTGCTATTAGGTTCTCTTCTGCAAGAGTAGGTGCTTATCTGGCACTTCATGAAGTATTCTGCAGGAACCATTTCAAGAGATTTGGCTTTGAGATGGGGGTGGGAGGAGACTTGTGGTGGGAATATAGCCATTATAACTGGCCACCTCTCTGCTGTTTTCAGTCTGATCTAAAAGAGAGTAGTACTGAAGCACTTCTTGAACTGCAGAAGGCCAGCTCTAGTACAATTCTGTGCAGAAGAGTGAAAAGCAGAGGCAGGAGGCAGCGGATGTAGCAGAGAAGAAAAACAGGAAGCCAGAGTGAAATGAAACTTGAAGGAAGGGAGTCAATTGGGGAACAAAGTAAAATCAGGCCGAGAGAGATAAGATGAATAGCAGAGTGCCTGGCTACTTGATTTAATACCCTTTGCTAGTGGAGAGAGTCTGTAGCTAGCAGACAGCGATCTGAAGAACCAATACATTCTGGGAAACACTGGCTGTTTGAAGATAGCTACTGGAACCCATCTAGGACAGCAACTATTTGCTATTAGTACCTAGTTACCCTCCAAACCAGTTGGCAATCAATGAAATGCAAACTGCTTCTATGAATATTGCCCCCTCCCCCAATCTGAGGGAAAAAAAACAGTTTTGTCTGCTACTGGCTTGCACAAATTCAGCAAATCAGTGCTATTAACGAGGGGCAGGAATGCATGACCCTACTCACTGGGGAGCCCAACAAAAATGAGGCCACATGTTAAGAATTTATCTTCCCCTCCCCAAGGCAGATACCAGCACAACATCTAGCACATCCAACTGGCAGAATTTCCATGCGGATTTAAGTAAAGATCAGGGATTCAATTCAAGATTCATGTGGCAAGTACAGTACAACAGACCTGCTCCACTGGGCTGGGAGTTTTTAGTTTGTAACACAAAGTGGGCACCTTGTGGGATTCTGAAGAACTAGCTAATTATGCAGCTTTGAATCAGTGGCAGCCCAACAGAAAGCCTTGTATTGTATGGGCCAGGTAAGATTGGATGCCCAATAATTACAGCAGAGAAAGGACAAGAGTCTCGATTTGCTTTAAGTAATCCTAATCAGCTGGAAAACAGACATTTATATTAAGCAGCTTTGCCTTTATTCATTCAGTTTGTAGACTCATAATAAACCCATTCAAAAACTGAAAGCATGTTAAGGTATCTCAACCTACAGGCGGTCAACATGGTTTTAGCAGAGTGCTGACTTGCCAGTTCTGATGGCAACTCCAATGCATATATACAATCAGGCTCCCAAATCCTACCCAACCAAAAAAACGCTTTAATCCCAAAGAGCTAATCTTCCCACACAAGCTTTCTTGGTCTACTGAATTGACTTTGGGTACGAGTTTGTGCCAGGGATGTCTGATAAGATTGCTGTTAAATGGGAGGCCATCTGGTCTAATGCCTCCCCCCCAAATGCACCAAAGCCAAGATTTTCAACAAGTTATTGGTTTTTGGATGTACTCCTTAACACTTCTGCTCCCTTTAAAAAGGGCCAGATTTCAGAAGGTAGGAGCCTGGTACTTCTGGAAAAAAAATCAGGCTTGTTAAGTGGGTGGGTGGGAGGGAGGAAGGAGTGCACCTCAATTTGGCTGGAGTTTAAAAAAAACAAAAGTAGTGCTTTCAGCCCAAGTTTTTACAATGCATTTTTCTCCTGTGCCTCCTAGCTGCTCCCTTGTTTGCTCAGCCTGCTTACAACCTTGATCATCTTAGCTAGCTTTGTTTTAACTGAGATAGTCATGAGCTGGAGGATTAAAAGAAGACTAAAAACAAACTGTTCCCAGTCTTGCCTTGTCTAGGTTCAGTGATGTACCAGACAGAAGCCCTAGCATGGATTTCAACTATTCCTCCCCGCAGATCTGCATCACTCAGCCCCACGTAAACCTTCACCAAGCTGGAGCAGAACTCCAGGAATAAGAGTAACAGTGAACGCTTCATTTCTGCTCAGCATGCATGCAGGTGATTATGCCAATAGCAATACTAGACCTGTAAACATAGGGCCCACGCTGATTCACCACTGGCTTGGCTCCCAGATGAATCTCTTTTGGATTCAGCACCTCAAAGAAGTAGGCTGACAGGTAAAAAGGAACAGGAACGTCTTTCCACATACTAAAGGCGATGCTATTGGGATCGATCCTCACGTTCTGGAAGAGAAAGCAGACATTTGGGCTAGGCTTTATCGCACCTGTATTATTGCCTCTCACAGAAGACAGTGATTTTACTGTCATTGATGCAACCTGCTCATTATGAAGCAGCTTTTAAAGTGTACAAGACAGAAAACAGACAAGCTATCCTTACATTGGTCATACTAAGAGCTAAGCTGGAAGAGGGTCTTCATATGCC